CTGTCCTCCGGTCTGTCTCTGTCTTTCCGGCAAAAAACCTCTCCAAAAAAAAAAAAAAAAAAAAAGTTTATAAGGTAAAGAGGAACTGAGATTAAAAAAATATATAAACATAAAAATTATTGCAAAGCCAAAATAGAATTTTTCAGATACTGACTTTGGGAAGAAAAAAAAGAAGAGATAAACTTTGAAGAATTTAAGAAAATTAATTCTGTACTTCTTACAACCCATTTTAATTGTCATTTGTCAAAATCTTCCACTTAAGATTACTGTATATTAAGAATAAATGCTTGGGGGCCAGCAGATGGTGTAGTGGTAACATTGCTGGACTCCCATAGTTCCAGTCCTAAACCCAAGATCCTGGGAGGAGAAGTGATTGTAGTGTGGACATTCCCCATGGTGGGTGATTTCTCACTTTCCCTCTCACTGTCTCTGTCTCTCTCTAGCATAAGCATGTGCTCTAAGGTGAAAACCTCTTGGGAACCAGCAGTTAGCGTAATGGCTATGTTGCTGGACTCCCACGTAGTCAACCGCAGTTCGTGTCCCGGGCCCGGTGGCTTAAAACTCACGCCGGGCGCGTGTGCGTGCGTGCCCAAGATCCCGAGAGGAGAATGGAGGAGAAGGGATTGCAGCGTGACCATCCGCCCTGGGGGGTGATTTCTCGCTTTCTGTCTCTATGTCTCTCTCTGTCTGTCTGGCGAGCGCACACGCCCTACAGTGAAAATCTCTCCAAAAAAAAAAAAAAAAAAAAAACCCCCTTTAAAAAAAAAAAAAAAGATTAAACACTTAGAACAAGAGACCAAATGCAGTTCTACATTTCTTTAATCTCAAAATTTTCCTGGGACCAGCAGTTAGCGTAATGGCTATGTCGCTGGACTCCCATGTAGTCGACCGCGGTTCGAGTCCCAGACCTGAGGGCTTGAACTCATGTTGGGCACGTGTGCGTGCGTGCCCAAGATCCTGAGAGGAGAAAGGAGGAGAAGGAATTGCAGCGTGGCCATCCCCCCGGGGGGTGATTTCTTGCTTTCTATCTCTCTGTCTTTCTGGTGAGTGCACACGCCCTATAGCAAAAACCTCTCCAAAAAAAGAAAAAAAAATTTCCCTAACAAATAGCTATTTCTCCTACCAACCATTTTGCCTATTAAATAAAAGCTAATGAAAGACTAATGTAAAATTATTTTTTTCTTGCTAAGAACAGGAATCATCTGAAATCCAGAAATTCAATTGTTTTAATAATTTATTATTTTATTTTATTTACTCATTCATTCATTTTTTAGTTTGACCAGAGAGAGAGACGGAGGGTGAGAATGAGAGAGAGAGGAAATGAGAAAGCAAGCCACCAGATTCAAGACTCGAACCCTGGTCGACCATGTGGGAGTGTCCAGCGCCTTAACCACCTATCATAAAGACTTAATTGAAACATTCTAATTAACAACTGGAGATATAAGAGTTGATACATTAACAAAATGTAAGTACAAGTAATATTTACATTTTAAAGAAATTTTAAAGCATTTACAGGAATTATTCTCTCAAGCTCATGTTTTATGTATTCTTTTTTTTTGGTCTTAATCAGGGTCTCACAATGTCACCATCATCCTTTCTTAGTCTCTTCCAGTCATTGGGATTACAGACAAATACTCTTTCAATTGGACCAGAAATCAAACTCGGGCCTCCCATGTGGTCCCAGAATGAGAACAGCACTTTAAGCCCATGTGGTTCACCACAGAAGGGCCTCTTTGATCCATTCTTAAAATATTACTTGGAGGAGTTTATATAGGAAAAAGACCATTTCATTTATGAACTATAATTTAAAAACAAAAAGATAGTTCCAAATAATTTCAATGAAATTCATTTGTCTGTTCATATATAAAATTATCACAGGATATAATTATCAAAATAATATATAAGATTACAAACATTACAAAGTAATGACCATTTCATAAATAATGCTTTAAATTCCAAACTTAAAAAGGTATGTATTACATTATACTCAAAAGGTAAATGAACACAGTACTGAGAAACTAAAGTTGTCATATACAAAGAAGACATCACCAAGAGTTCTTTTAGTTTAAGCAGCTTTAACTACCTTCAGATACAAATACTTTTAAACACAACACATTGCATGATATGAAATATTTTCTGAAGTATCCACAGTTAAATTCGGGTCAGAGAATCTACAACTGGTATTCCAAAATTCTAACCCTTTACTCAAATTACCTAAATCAGGGTAAACATTAAAAATATTATATAAGGAGGACATAATAGCTGTATAATAAAGAATACAAAAGAAAGAACTATTAAAGCTTTGTATTATTAATAATTAGAATACTGAAGAGGTACAGCATTACTCTTGAGAAATTTTTCTAAAATAATAAAGTAAGTTATTTAGATTAATAAATGAAGCAGGTCTCAGGAGATCCTTGAAATACAGCTTTAACCCTTTTGAGTTAACAAGTCAATGACTAATATGGAACCTTGAAGAATTTCTATCTCTAAATCAAAAGTTATAGATTAAAACATGTCAAATTTTGGGGACCAGCAGGTGGCATGCTGGTTAAGGCACTGGACACTCCCACATGGCTGACCACGGTTTGAGTCCCAGACCCAGGGGCTTACTTTCTCACTTTCCCTATCTCTCTGTCTCTGTCTCTCTCTGTGTCTCTCTCTGGTCAAATTAAAATAAAGTGAATGAATAAATAAAATTAAATGAATAATTATAAAAAATGTCACATTTTAAGTATTAAGATAAATATTACTTAATAAAATAAAGGCCTAATTGTAGCAAATATGGGACCAGCAGATTATGAAATGGTTACATCGCTGGACTCCCATATAGTCAATCACAGTTCAAGTCCCAGACCCAGCAGTTAAATCTCATGTTGGACATGTGTGTATATGTGCCCAAAATCCCAAGAGGAGAAGGGATTTTGGCATAGCCCTCCCTTCTGGGGAGCGATTTTTCACTTTCTGTCTCTCTGGAGCGTGCACACACCCTACAGCAAAAATCTTTCTAAAAAAAGAGAGAGAGAAAGAAAATAAATCACAAATAGGGTCATAAAAAGAAACATCCAGAAGAACTGAAAAGCAACTGAAAGTCTGATCGAAAACGCTTAATGCCATTTCATTTGAACTTAAAGTAATGTTCAACAATATTGATAAAGGTTCTTAAAACATAAAAGTTGAATAAATTGCATTTCATCTGTTTTAAGCTTTTTTATACTTCATTGCAGAGAGGAGTTATTTTTCCCCTGCCAGTCATCTACAGACCTGTGAATGGAGATAACTCTAAACTGTTGCCTCAAGGGTTTTTTGGACACTACTGCCAGGCTATGAAGCAATTACTTCAAATTCTCAAGAAAAAAGAAAATTATAAAACGATTCATTAACTGCTAAGGTTGGGTTGTGGAAGTTTTCTTTCTGTCCTATCTATAGGAATGCTCATTTCCCATTTACTTCTAAATGAAGTGTGATCCCCTTCAGTTCCCCAACTTTATAACGTTTCCATCTTGGGTGTTTTCCTTTATTCCCAATGGCACAAAAAAAAATAGTGCATCTTAAAACTGATAGAATCTTAGGGACCAGCAGTTAGCGTAATGGCTATGTCGCTGGACTCCCAGGTAGTCGACCGCGGTTCAAGTCCCAGACCCGGTGGCTTAAAACTCACGCTGGATGTGTGTGTGTGCGCGTGCCTAAGATCCCGAGAGGAGAATGGAAGAGAAGGGATTGCGGCATGGCCATCCTCCCTGAGGGGTGATTTCTCACTTTCTGACTCTCTGTCTCTGTCTGACTGGTGAGCGCACGCACCCTATAGCAAAAACTTCTCAAAAAAAAAAAAACTGATAGAATCTTAGAACTAGTCAAATATATTAAATCAAATGTAACTGCTTCTTTTTAATATAATGTCAAAAACTAACAATAGCAATATTGAACAAATAAAGAAAATAAAAATTAAGTTATAAATACCTGTCATTTGTGTACACTCTCAAAAGTCTTCTATCAAAATCACTTTCATATCTAAACCTCTCATCCATTTCTTCTTTTACTTCAGGATCTTGATCTGGCCTATAATAGTGTCTGTGAAAAGCACGATCTTCATTAAACCTGGAAAATCTTCTATCTGGAATGCCGGTCTGGCTGACAAACCTTTGATGTTTTGTATCAGAAATCCCCACGTCTTCATTCGCCTTCTTAGTAATCCTTCTATTTCTTAATTCTATTTCATCATCTAGTCGTCGATACCGGTCCTCTTCTAGTCGTCTTTGGTTAAGAAGCTCTTCATATGCATCTGAAGGAGTTAGGTTGTCTCTCCTAGGACGCTCTAAATTTTCACAAGATGTTTCTATTTGTGAAGGTAAGTCAGTCTTAATTTGACTAACAGATTTTTTATTTCTTTGATTCTTGTGCTGTTGAATTAAAAAGTAAAAATGCAACAAATCTTAATGTAATACTACCTCATAAAAGGTACTTAAACCCTCAAAATATGTGTAATCTATTCATGTAAACTCTTTTAACATTTAATCACCATATCGTTCCTTTAGAAAAAAATTGAAAGAATTTTTTTTTCAATTAAACTTATTTAATATCAATAGGTAGGTAAAAGTAATAAGGATAAGTGGCTATGAAAAGAAGATAAACTAAATACAAATTCCTATCCTAAGAGTGATTAGGCATATTTTGGCAATTAAATATTCTTTCAAAATATACCAAATTGAATTCTTTCCTGAAGGTGGTAAACTTTTTTACCTTAGCAACATCAACAATCCTTAAATGTGGGGAAAAAAATTTTAGCTAGAAACTGTTAACATAAAAATATCATTAAAAATAAAAAATAGGGACCAGCAGTTAGCGTAATGGCTATGTCTCTGGACTCCCACGTAGTCAACCACAGTTCAAGTCCCGGACCCAGTGGCTTAAACTCACACCGGGTGCGTGTGCGTGCGTGCCCAAGATCCCGAGAGGAGAATGGAGGAGAAGGGATTGTGGTGTGGCCATCCCCCCGGGGGGTGATTTATTGCTTTCTGTCTCTCTGTCTCTGTCTGTCTGGTGAACGACACACCCTATAGCAAAAACCTCTCCAAAAAAAGAAAAAAAAAGAAAAAAGAAACAAAAATCACTTAACAAAAATGATCTCTCAAATCTTCCCGGTGAGGCTAAATTTTAAAAAAGGAGAGAATGTTTTTTAACAAACAGTTTTTAAAACTAAATACTTAAATGTTCTATGATTGGTTTAATTTGGTTTAATAACTCACATTAAAACCAAGTTAAGTGAAATGTCTAAAATAGAAAAAAGAACCTTTCATGTAAGTATAAAATATAAAACCTTCAGCTTTAAAAATTTATTTTAAAAGTAAAACTTACCTCAGTACTCTTTTCTACCTGTCTGAACTTTTCACTGGATTCTTCCTTATCCCTGAGAAACTGATTGTATTCTTTGTTGCGTTCAAGTTTCAACCTTTCCTTAAAATAGAAAACAAAATGCGATGTTAAATTCAACTCCAGAAAAAAGTACTTAAATGTGAAATCAGCATGTCAAATCAGATGTATATAGACCAGAGTTTTTACTCAAAAGTTCCACTATTAATTTCAAGGACAAACGTGACTGTAAGATAGGGAAGAAGCAAGAAAAGGTCCAAGACCACCCATACAGCTCATCCCAGGTCTTTCTTGCCATGCAAGAATATGTATGGCTACATGCTTTACCATATGAAATAATAGAAAGGAGCTGCTTCAGTTATGAAACATCTCCATTTTTATACTTCAGTAATTAGATAGCTTTGATGATATTTACCAAAGAGCCATGCCCGATAAATATACAACTCAAGGTTTGTTTACCAAGTGCAACGCTAGACAAACCAGGTACATTTGGTCAGAAGCAATCATAGATCTCTTCCAGTAGTAAATATGATGAATGTGTTTACCAGGAGGTCTGTCATTAGTCAAAGAAGAATCTCATTGTATTTTAAATATGAAAAGGTAAAGTTACCATACATCCTAAAATATTATAATGAAAATGTTCTATTGAAATACAAATATGTTACACTAAATGTTCTTAAATTCCAGTATCTCTTGGGTCAGCAGGTAGTGTGGTGGTTAAGGCACTGGACTCCCACATGGCTGACTGCGGTCTGAGTCACAGACCTGGTGGCTTGAAACTCATGCCTGGTGTATGTATGTGTGTTTCCAAAATCCCAAGGGGAGAATGAAGGAGGGAGGATTGTAGCGTGGCCATTCCCCTGGGGAGTGATTTCTTATTTTCTGTCTTTGTCTCCCTAGCAAACACACATGCCCTATAGCAAAAAAAAAAAAAAATCTACTACATCCTATGTCACTGAAACAATACAATCTTTAAAAATATTAAAGAAAAGAGGTCTGGGAACCACCAGACGGTATAATGGCTACATCACTGGACTCCCATGTAGTTGACCACGGTTCAAGTCCCACACCCGGTGGCTGAAACTCATGCAGGGAGCATGAGATGCAAGATCCCGAGAGGAAAATGGAGAAGAAGGAATTGTGGCATGACTATCCCCCCTGGGGAATGATTTTTCACTTTCTGTCTCTTTGTCTCTGTCTTTTTGGCGAGTGCACATACTGTATAGCAAAAACTTCTCCAAAATAAAAAATAATAATAATAAAAGAAAAGAGGACTGGGCCAGCCAGTGAAGTGGTGGTTAAGGTGCTGGATCCCACACAGCCAAGTGAACAATTTGAGTCCCAGATCTGGCAGCTTAGGGGGAAAAAAAAAGAAAGAAAGAAAGAAAACATACTGGGGACATGTGCATGCATGTCCATAATCCCAAGAGGAAAATGGAGATGGAATTGTGGTGTGGCAATCCATCCCTCCCTCCAGAGGTAGAGGGCTACATTTTCACTTTCTCTCTCTTTATGGCAGTACACACGCCCTATGGTAAAAAATTTTTTTAGGTTTCTGCCATAGAGCACATACACTTGTCAGAGTGGGGAAAGTGAGAAATCACCATCCAGGGGGTTGGCAATGCTGCAGTCCCTTCTCCATTCTCCTCGCAGGATTTTGGGCATGCATGCACACTCACTCGGCATGATTTTCAAGCTGCTGCTTGATCTGGCCCTAAAACTGCAGTGGGTCATGTGGGAATCAGCACCTTAACTACCAAATCACTTGCTGACCCCTCAATTTTTTTTTAATAAAACAAAAAGAAAATGAAACTAGGTTTGTCTTTTGAAATATATTAACTGTCTATGTTATCTTACATATTGTTTTATGATCTCTGATCTACCTTGGGAAGTGAGTCTCTCTAAAAGATGTACAGTGCTTTATCATTACCACCTCTTAAGAGTATGAACATGAATTAGTGGAAGTATATAAACACACATTCAAAAAGCCCCTATGCTCACCCCACATAAAAGCTCACTATACTCTCACATTGCCTCACAGCACTAATAACTGTGTCACACAGCATAAACTTTATATATAGCTCAGAAACTAAGGCTGAATATAATGAATTCTGAACATTCAATTAAATATAACTAAATACACCAAAAGAATCAACATATTAAAGAAACATCATATTACACAGCTATAAATGTTCAGAAAACCAATTTTTAACAATACAACTAGAGACTTCATGGATTTTTTTAAAAATATATTCAAGTACTGGAAAATTATGTAACCTGCTTGCACTTACAGC